GGTGAGAGAGCAGAGAGACGCAGACACACGACAACTGTCAAAGATGATGAATTTTTGGAAATATTGGACTATTTTCTTGGAAAAGTCAGGGCGGGGTCTTATTGGGCTCAAAAAGGATGTGGATTTTTAGCTTATAAAGAAGGTTATGTTACTTTTTTATTGAGGTTTTCCTCAAAATTAGCCGGATATACCAGATAAAGGTACTGAAAGCCTGACCTTACAAAGATGTCAATTTCCTATTTTTCGAGAGCATCAAAGTCAGAAATGGTACATTTTCACGGACTTTGACAGGTTTTTTCATTTTGGAAGTGTCTTTCAAGAATTAGAAGCTTGGGCGAGTTGGGAATTTTTCTTCGAATTGAGGAGTATTTATTCTGGTCTTTTTTCAGTGAATTTCTGAGGAAATTGCCTTCTTAAGACTGATTTTTGGCTGAACCTCGGTTGAAACCACTCCTGACTACCGTTCAGAAATGTTCAAAATGCTCTTTCTTCTCAAAAAAGAAGCATCTTTTTTCTGGTTCTGCCTTGAAAAAAAGGTGTCGAAGAACAGGCTCCCATCATCTGATTAGGCCTCTTTGGGAACCGATCTCGGCATAAAGGAGGCCTGTTGCCAAAAAAGGCCGCACTTTCGAGAAACATGCGGTTCTTGCAGCTCTTCCTATTCCTTGCCTTCGTTTCCGCCATTTTGGCTGCTTATTCCTCGGAGGAGGTCGACAACAAGTTCGACCAAAAAGCAGCTCAACAAGAAAATCTTCCGACGTTCACGAGTTTCTGGGCGTTTTGAAGTTTTGATTGAGAAATGAATGTTTGATTTGGGGTGGATTTGTTCAGTTTGCTTCGGCTTGGAAGTTCTGGGATTTGTGATTATTTTGTCGGGTTTTGCATTGGAAGGATGTCTGAGCGTTCCTGATTGGATTAACTACCGAGAGATGAAAATTGAAAGGGAGTTGATTATTCAATTGAGACATGGAAATTTGTGTTCAAGTTGACCGCTCTCCATCTTGGGTACAGCTGATTCACGGCTGGCTTGAGCTATCGAAAAAAACAAGGGGCCTGATACGATAATAAAAGAGACAGTGTCCTAAGCCAGCCGTGATTCGGTTATATACCATGTTTGAGAATTTTGATGATTTTTGTCGGTTGTCGGGCAACTCTCTGGATCTATACAGGCTGAGAAAACTTGGGAGGTTTCTTCAAGGATTCTCAAAATGATCTCTGCGAACGATTGAAGAAGCTAGTTGCCAAGAAAGGCCGCATTTAAAAAAAATATGCGGCTCTTCCAGCCCAAACGGGACATTTTTGATGATTTTGTTGTCGGGCAACTTTCTAGATCGATTCAGGCTGAGATACCTTGATACCTGACTTCAAAGGCTTTCAAACTGATCTCTGGGAACCAATAAAGACGTTGGAACCAATCTTGGCATAAAGGACGCAGGTTGCCAAAAAAGGCCGCATTTTAAAGAAATTTGCGGCTCTTCCAGCCCAAACGGGACATTTTTGATGATTTTGTTGTCGGGCAACTTTCTAGATCGATTCAGGCTGAGATACCTTGATACCTGACTTCAAAGGCTTTCAAACTGATCTCTGGGAACCAATAAAGACGTTGGAACCAATCTTGGCATAAAGGACGCAGGTTGCCAAAAAAAGGCCGCATTTTTAAAGAAATTTGCGGCTCTTCCAGCCCAAACGGGACATTTTTTTGATGATTTTTGTTGTCGGGCAACTTTCTAGATCGATTCAGGCTGAGATACCTTGATACCTGACTTCAAAGGCTTTCAAACTGATCTCTGGGAACCAATAAAGACGTTGGAACCAATCTTGGCATAAAGGACGCAGGTTGCCAAAAAAAGGCCGCATTTTAAAAGAAATTTGCGGCTCTTCCAGCCCAAACAGGGACATTTTTTTGATGATTTTTGTTGTCGGGCAACTTTCTAGATCGATTCAGGCTGAGATACCTTGATACCTGACTTCAAAGGCTTTCAAACTGATCTCTGGGAACCAATAAAGACGTTGGAACCAATCTTGGCATAAAGGACGCAGGTTGCCAAAAAAAGGCCGCATTTTAAAAGAAATTTGCGGCTCTTCCAGCCCAAACGGGACATTTTTTTGATGATTTTTGTTGTCGGGCAACTTTCTAGATCGATTCAGGCTGAGATACCTTGATACCTGACTTCAAAGGCTTTCAAACTGATCTCTGGGAACCAATAAAGACGTTGGAACCAATCTTGGCATAAAGGACGCAGGTTGCCAAAAAAGGCCGCATTTTAAAGAAATTTGCGGCTCTTCCAGCCCAAACGGGACATTTTTGATGATTTTGTTGTCGGGCAACTTTCTAGATCGATTCAGGCTGAGATACCTTGATACCTGACTTCAAAGGCTTTCAAACTGATCTCTGGGAACCAATAAAGACGTTGGAACCAATCTTGGCATAAAGGACGCAGGTTGCCAAAAAAGGCCGCATTTTAAAGAAATTTGCGGCTCTTCCAGCCCAAACGGGACATTTTTGATGATTTTGTTGTCGGGCAACTTTCTAGATCGATTCAGGCTGAGATACCTTGATACCTGACTTCAAAGGCTTTCAAACTGATCTCTGGGAACCAATAAAGACGTTGGAACCAATCTTGGCATAAAGGACGCAGGTTGCCAAAAAAGGCCGCATTTAAAAAAAATATGCGGCTCTTCCAGCCCAAACAGGGACATTTTTTTGATGATTTTTGTTGTCGGGCAACTTTCTAGATCGATTCAGGCTGAGATACCTTGATACCTGACTTCAAAGGCTTTCAAACTGATCTCTGGGAACCAATAAAGACGTTGGAACCAATCTTGGCATAAAGGACGCAGGTTGCCAAAAAAGGCCGCATTTTAAAGAAATTTGCGGCTCTTCCAGCCCAAACGGGACATTTTTGATGATTTTGTTGTCGGGCAACTTTCTAGATCGATTCAGGCTGAGATACCTTGATACCTGACTTCAAAGGTCTCAAAATGATTTCTGAGATCCAATAAAGACGTGTGAACCAATCTTGGCATAAAGGACGCCGGTTGCCAAAAAAGGCCGCGCTTTAAAGAAATATGCGGTTCTTCCAGCTCGAACGGAACATTTTTGATGATTTTTGTTGTCGGGCAACTTTCTAGATCGATTTGAAAAAACCTCGAAGATTCTCAAACTGATTCCTGGGAACTCTTCAGCTCCCACCATTCAGTTAAAAACGTCTGAGAACTCCTCGACCCAGTATTAAAAGACGTTTCTAAGAAGAAACGGCCGCACTTTCGAGAAATGAGACTCTACCTACTCCTCCTTGTCGTCCTCTCCACTTTGGCAATCCATGTCTCGGGCAGAAAGTCGGCTGATCGTCACAAAAGAGAGGCTATTGGAAAAAAACTTCCCTCGCAGCCGAGATTCTCGTCTTTCTATATGAATACTATGCGCGGTTGAACTCTTTGGAGTTGTGAAATAAATATTTTGGATCCGATGTGGTTGGGACAGTTGAGCGAAGTGTAGTTTCCCCGCTTCAAGTTTGGTTTTTGAAGGGCTTTTTTTAAATTTTCTAGTCCGATTACGCCGTTGGGATCTTCTTCATCCAGAATTGTCAAGGTTGTGCGGTAAAAGTTGGGAAGCTTCTGCTTTCAGCTCCGGAAGGTGTTTGGAGCTTTCCAGTAAGTGGTCAAATGCCTTCCCAACACCTTTACATACCTGCCAGAAGCCTTCCAGAAGGTCTCATTTTTTTTTAATCTTCTGAAGACCTTCTGAAGACCTTCTAGCTTCCATTCACCTTCCAAATTCCTTCTAGTTACTTTCCCATCACCTATTGACTTGACAGGGACATCTGAAGATGAACTGAAGAGAAAAAGTTCGATGATGTGCTTCACATCAAAGAGCTAAAAAATAGATCTGAACAAAGACAGTGGCATGGGAAAATGAAGAAGCTGATCATCAGCAGACTCAAAAAGAAGTTCATAGTTCCTCCCAACATCAATCATAACTCTCCACTGCTGAAAGTTCTCCAAACCAACTCCTGAGAACCATCTTCTTTCCCATCTCTCAATTAGGCGTCGCTGAGAATTTCAAATCTCGATATAAAATATACTCTCTTCAAGAAAAAGTCCTCATATTCGAAACATGCGTTTTCTGCTATTCCTTATCCTCGTCCTCGCTCTGGCGACGTTCCAAGTCTCCGCGAGACCTTCCAATGACTCCAAAACGGAAGTCCGCACCAAAATAGCTCAACAGAGACTGCCAACATTCACGAACTTTTACATTATTCCCATTCGCGGTTGATGAACATTCTTGCAATGAATATTTGTTTTTCTTTTGAACAGTTGAGAGTTGGTTTTGAAAACGGTCGACCTTTCAGCTTCCACTTGGGTTTTTGAAAGGAATTGAAAGGGTTTTAAACTTGAACTCAGGCGAATCCTGAGAAGGTAACCAGCAGGAGGTTGGAAGGGCTATGTAGGCTAGAAGGTATTGGGAAGGTATTTGAAAGGTGAAAATGGAAAATGCCTGTCAGCAGCCTTTTAGAAGCCTGCTGGAACGCTTCTGGAAAGCTTCCGGCAGGCTTTCTTTCTAACTTCTGGTAAGTAGAAAGTGTTGGGAAGGTAACCAGTGAGGGATTGGAAGGTGTATTTAGGCTTGTGAAAGCTTTTGGAAGGTCTTGGGAAGATATTTGAAAGGTGAAAATGGAAAATGGCTGACAGAAGCCTGCTGGAATGCTCAGAAGGCGTTGGAAGCTCTTTGAAGGCGTCCGACCACTTGCTGGAAACCTTTTAAAAGCCTTCCGAGGAACCGAAAGCAGAAGCTTTCCAACTTCTACGAATCTTTCAGCTTCTTTCAAAATCCCAAAAGCCTCCAGAAACTCCTTTCTGAAACCCAAGAACAGTAAGATCACATGGCTAACAGTCCTCCAAACAATCTTCTGAGAACTATTTTTCTTCTCAGCTTCTAGTTAGAACCTCTGAGAATTCTCGTAACATAAAAGACAGTGAGAAGTCTACATTTTCGAAAAATGCATATCCTCCAGCTCTTCCTATTCCTAGTCTTCGTCCTCGCCACCTCGGCCGAAACAGACGCTGGTTCCAGCGAGGTCTTCCTGCCCAAAAAGAGTTACTTCAACAGGAAGAAGCGATCGATAGATTTCTACGGTCGTAAGAATCACTTTTCGACACCATTGTGAGAAATAAAGTGTTGTGAATCGATTTTCGAGGATCTTCCAAGTTGAGATTTGAATTCTCAAAGTGGGATGCTTGTCGAGGTTTTGCTCAGATTTCCTAACAAGGAAAGTCGTTTTACTTTGAAGTTGGGATTCTTGAAAGTTGCGCCATGAAAGTCCTTCAAGAAAGAGATCCTGAAAGTCTCGTTTTTCTCAAGGACTAGGACATTTTTCCGGTTGAGGACTTCATGACCTTCATTTGGTACTTCCAGGACTATCCAAGCTAATTTTCGAAAAGTTCCTGACCTTTTAATAACATTAGGCAGTGCTCTGAATTGTTTTCTGAGACCCCTTTCCGTTCCCATTGTCTGATAAGAGGTCTCTGAGAACCAACCCGACACGGCTTTACGGTATAAAAGAAGGGGAAATTCTAAATTTGACAGAAATGCACTTCCTCCAGCTTTTCCTATTCCTTGCCTTCGTCCTGGCTACCTCGGCGATCTATATCGACGTCGAAGCCGATGATTCTGACGAAGTCGTGTTCGTCAAACGAGACAGGACTGGTGGAATAAGAAGGCCAGAAGGACGATTCTTCAGAAATTTCCACAAGGCTCGCGATTATCCTCCTTGGAATTTGTAAACGCTGAAATAAAAGGTTGAGAATTGCAAAGTTTTCTGGTTTTTTTCTTCCCTCTTCGAAAATCCACTATTTAACTGAATGTTGGGAAAAAATTGAGTTTTCAAGAAAAAATGCGATCCTACAACTTTATGAAAAAAAAGGTTCTGCGTCACTTTTTCTGGAATTTTGGCGATCTGGTATCCTCAGACCAACTCCAAAGAATTTTATCCGGCTGGGCCACAATCTTACGGAGAAACCCGTCAAATGGACAGAATCTCGAAAAAACAGGACGATCCAACGACTTGCTTTATCTGGGATCCCATAAATGTTCACTAGAGTTTTCAATGATGATTTTGTGATTGAAGTTGAATAAAATTCTTTTTTTTTTCAGTTAAGACTTTTTCCGCTTTTTCTAGAGTTCTTTTCTCGCTTTTTCTGGAGTTCTTTGTTTTTAAGTAGCCAATGAGACTGGAAGAAAAGTCCTGAACATTTTCAAGTTCCCATAGATAAATTAAAAGTGTAAGAAATTACTTGCTCATAAAAAATATAAATAGAGCGTTCTATCAAAAAACGAGTTGCAATGTCAAAAATCAAAAGCGAATTGCATGATCTCATAGTCTGATAAAAAAATCTGAGAAAAACTGGAATTTTCAAAAAACTGATCAAAACTCATCTTTTCTCAAGTACATAAGTTTCAAGTTTTCAATCAGTCCGATCAGAAAAAGATCGATCTGTTAAATTACAAGCTTCGGAAAATCGTTTTTCGATCCAAGAACTCGGTAACCGGACACGGTCCGGACGTGTCGAAGCATTTCTAGTGACCACTTTAGTGGCGTCAACACTCTTAAGTGATCCCTAGAATTGCACGGAAACGGCCGGAGAGTGTCTGAGGAGTCTCTCATCTTTTTCAAAGGACCGCATCTTGAGTCAAGTCCAGAAATTTCCAGTCTTTAAAGCATAATCAGATAAAAATTTCGAGCTTTAAAGGCTCAGATTCAACCAGTTTCTTCTTTTTCAAATTATACTTACTTTTTTTTTTGGAGCTCGAACTTCAGAGCTTCCTCCAGAAGTCCCCGTCTTGAACCGAATCCAAAAGTTTTCCAAAGAGGAAAAGTAGAAATGGAGACGAGTAAGGGTTGCGCAAGACGGACGGAAATTTGCATGGTCACGTCTTCTTTTTTTTTCCTCCGTTCTCCGGACTTTCCCAACGGGGCGGCTATTCAACACGCACCTGGCGCAACAGCTGAACTTGCGCAACACTTTTTTTCTCCTCTTTTTTTCCTTGCGTAAGATGTGCGATCCTTTTTGGGTTAGTTTCCAGATGGTTATGGTAGTTTACAGATTTCCTTGAGTTCAGCTTCATTTTACGATACTGTATTCTATGAGAATTTCCATGTCGAAATTGTATTCGCAACGCTTTATGGGCTGTTCAATGGCGCAGTAGACGTCTTTGGCTCCAATGAACCTTGAAAAGGGCTCTTCGTCGTGAGACCTTTTTTAAAAGTTGCTTGCGCTTTTTCAAAATTTTTAGTGGCCACTATAGTGGCTCGCCAAGAACTACTTGGAGAGGACACTAAAGTGGCCACTATTTTCCGTTTTAGTGGCCACTATAGAGGTCCTCTATTTAGTGGCCACTTCAGTAGTTTTTTATCCAGTATTCCTTCCAGTAACTCTGATAATTTCAAAACAAACAGATTGGAACAGTTATGTTGATCCATTGACCCCTAAAGTGGCCACTAAAATTTTTAGTGATCTAGTAGTAGCACTTAGACCCTTAGACCTATAGTGGCCACTAATTTTTAACCCCTTAAGTGGCCACTGATTTGACTACTATAGTGGCCACTAAAGCGTCAAAACCCTATAGTGGCCACTTAAAATTTTCCCAGTAAACTTCAAAAAGGCTATTGAAACTACTGTTAACAATCCATCGAAAAGAAAGTTCCATCAGAAAAAAGTTCTTGAAAAAGAAAAATATTTGTGTAAACTGCTAGAAGATTTCAAATTCCCTGAGCTTCAATCAAAAAATTATTCCGAAACACCCGAAATTCTAAAATTTGAGCTCAAAATTCGGTTCCACAGGTATTTTTACCTCAAATACTCCTCTTTTAAATAAGTAAAACCCTGTCTATTTTGACCAGTACCACATCGAAAAGTGTAAAAGCCGCGCAATCAATCTCCCTACTCGAGATACATCATTGCGACACTAGGCTAATTGTAAATAAACCACCGCTTCATCACTTTGTCCCCTCCATGGTGCGTTGTAACCTCGAAAGAGCGGTCGTTTCTTGGCCTGGAGGATGAGGAAAAAGGACGGGAAAAAGTTCGAAGATTGACTTTTCTGGAAGTAGTCATTCTCCAGAACTTGAATTAGTCTGGCATGTCTATGATCTCTTTTCTCTCTTTTCTATCCTCACTGCGTAGTAACTTTGAAAGTGCAGTCGTTTCTTGGCCTGGAGGAGAAGGAAAAAGGACAGAAGAAGAAGTTCAAGTTCTGAGCTCTGGAAGTGAGTCCTTCTCTAGGAAATGAAACAGTCTGACATGTCTGTGCTCTCTTTTCTCTCTTCATGGTCTTGAAAATGCGGTCATTTCTTTGCCTGGAGAATGAGAAAAAGGACAGAAGAAGAAGTTCAAGTTCTGAGCTCTGGAAGTGAGTCCTTCTCTAGGAAATGAAACAGTCTGACATGTCTGTGCTCTCTTTTCTCTCTTCATGGTCTTGAAAATGCGGTCATTTCTTTGCCTGGAGAATGAGAAAAAGGACAGAAGAAATAGTTCAAATTCTGAGCTTTTTGGATATTAATCATTCTCTAGAAAATGAATCAGTCGGTCTGACATGTCTGCGCTCTCTTTTCTCTCTTCATGAACTTGAAAAAGCGGTCATTTCTTCGCCTGGATGATGAGAAAAAAGGACAGAAGAAGTAGTTCAAATTCTGAGCTTTTTGGATATTAATCATTCTCTAGAAAATGAATTAGTCTGTCTGACTTGTCTGTGCTCTCTTTTCTCTTCTCATGATCTTGAAACTGCGGTCATTTCTAGGCCTGACAAAGGAAGAAAATATTCAAGCCTTCAACATTTTTTGACCGAGGAAAACATGATAATCTCTTGAACTCTCTGGAAATGAAACAGTCTGACTTGTCTGCCCTCTCTTTTCTCTCGTTCTAACATCTAAAATGCGGCCATTTCAGCCTAGGAGAGGAGAAAAAAAGTAGCTCAATGGTACGACTTGAAAAGAAACAAAATATCCAAGCCTTGAGAATTTCTTGACGTTGAAAAAAATGTTCCAGTCTCAAGCTTTCTGGATATATCATCCTTCAGAGCTTGAAAAAATCTGACCCGTCTGCACTCTCTTTTCCTTCCTCACTACGTTTTAACCTCGAAAATGCGGTCATTCATTCGGCCGGCGGTGTCCCACGGTCGGCCGTTAAAACCGTAAAAACCCGTAAAAATCGCCAAGAAGTACAAATATGGTAGCCGGCCATTTGCATTCGGAATCTTGGCGGCGTTGAATTTTTTCTTTGATGATTTTTATGGCGTTGAAAATATATGAGTTTTGAGGAGCTCTTGGTAAATAGAAGGGTGAGAAAAAATCGCCGCGGCTTCTTTTTTTGAAGTTTTTCGGAATTCTTTTTCTTGTGCTCAAATTTGAGCTCGATAGAATTCCCAATGTGAAGGTGCTACTTAGGGATGCTTTATATTTTGAAAAATATAACACTTTTTCAAAATTTCCGCTCATTCTGAAAGGAAAATGAGGGAAAAATAATTGCCGCTGTTTTTTTCAAGGTTTTTTATAGAATGCGAAGTTTTGAAAAGGTACCAAAATAGTGATAAATTCGTTAGAAACCTACAGACTTTCAAAACGGACAAAAATATCGATTTTTTTCTTCTCGATTGATTTTTTTCAATGTGAAATTAGAAGAATGAAATTTTTCAATATTTTTCATCTCGAAAAAAATGAATTTTTTTCTAACTTTTCAAAATTTAAAAGCCCTTAACAAGACTCCTTAACCTAAATACTTCACAAGACAGCTGCAAAAAGGCTTACGTAACCGCCGTTTTACGGGTAAGGGTGCGCCTATTTTGAGGCGGGGATTAACAGCCTGCTGGCACGTCGCCAAAACGGTTATTTTTTCCTCGGATGGGTTTGACCGTGACTTTGGCTAATCGACCATCAAGGCTGCCTTTTTCAGTCTGGAGGGGAGGGGGATGGCGGATTTTTAGGCTTTTTTTCTAGTATTAGGGCTGAAAAAATTTACAAAAACAAGAAATGCTCTCTTTTAAAGCTTCCGAGCTTGAGGCTTGTTAGAAAAACTCCCGAGGGCTTAAAAAAAAAATAATAAATGGAACTTTTCCAACTTTTCGCATGTGTATGTAAAGCTACATGAAAGAAGAAGTTTTAATTTTTTTGAAAAACTAAACCACCCTCAGAGCCATTCTTTGAGCTTGAAATTTTATAATTTCAAAAAAAAATGGAAACTTGCTTCATTTCATCTGCAACAGTATCATTTAGATGTAAAGCTACTGAGAAAACTTCAGAAATTGAATTTTTTTATGAGCTTTATTATCTTTCTGAGTTCATAGATCCGTTCTAAAATCACCTTTTTTTGTTTTTACATTATCATTTCTCGTTGACCTATCAAAGTTCATTGGGAAAATTTCTAACCTTTTTTTTCAAGCTTTGAACCCACAAATCAGACTTTTATTAACAATTTTCGATTTTTATACTTCATATTTTCAATGGAAATAATGGGTTTTTGTCACTTGTAAGGCCAAGATGTCATTTCGATCCATCAGAAAAATTAAAATGTATAGATTGGACTTTTTCAAGTTTAAATCTCACCAAATAAACTTTTATGAACTCTATAAAAATCTAAGAGTTCTATTATCATTTTTAAATTTCTAAAATCTCTACTTTCAATGGAAATAATGGATTTTTGTCACTTTAAAGGGCATGATATCATTTCAATCGATCAGAAAAAATTAAAAATTGTACGGTTCGACTTTTTTTTTCAAGCTTAAATCTCAC